TTTTTTTTTAAAGGAGAAATTTTTTATTTTATTTTATTTATTTATTTTTCCCCCAAAGCCCCAGTACATAGTTGTATGGCACAATTGCACATCCTTCTAGTTGCCGTATGTGGGACGCTGCCTCAGCATGGCGGGAGAAGCGGTGCGTCAGTGCGTGCCCAGTGCGTGCCCAGGATCCGAACCCAGGCCGCCAGCAGCAGAGCGCGCGCACTTAACCACTAAGCCACAGGGCCGGCCCTCTCTTCAGTTTTTGATATCCATTCTGCTCTCGTTTTGGCCAGGGGTGTCCCTTCAGGCTGGCTGCTGTGTCCCCTGAACCATAGCTCCACCTCTGTAAGCAATCCCTGCCCTCACCCAGCCTTTCAGAGCCCTGGTGCCTTTACGTGGCCTTCAGAACTGCGGAAGCAAGAAACAGGCTCCAGCTGGGGCCTCATATCCTGGGGCACCCTCTGTGGTCTAGCTCAGGCCCGTTGCTGCCTGCAGGCTCACATGGCCTCTGTCCCTGGCCACCTACTCCAGGGCCTAGCCCGAGAAGGTACCCATAGAGTGAACCCTGCAGTCCACAGCCTGGGGATCTGGGTGCCTGCCAGGGGCACCGAGATGAACCCGAACAGGAGCTGCTGGTCCGGCAGCCAGGCAAGGGCTGAGGCCCAGCAGCCCCCTGCACACACCTGCACCTACAGAAACAGCATCTCTTCCACATGGTGAGACGAGGAGCCATGTCTGAGCATTCAGGATCTGTGGGGCAGATGGGGACAGTGGCCAAGGCCGGTCTCAAGGAGATATGCGATGCAGGTAAGTGCGGCCTCAGGCAGGGTGTCAGGACTCAGCAGGGGTGGATGAAGCCCCCACAGCCACCAGTGCTGGCACAGGGGTGAGGCCACCTGAGACAGGCTGGACATCCTAGAGTGAGAGTGGGGCCGTCTGTCCACTGAGAGGCTGGGAGATAGGGGGGACAAGACATTGTGCCTGTCCTGCTGCTGGGACCCTCTGCCTGGCAGCCCTCCAGGGTTTCCCTGCCCACCGTCCTACCTGGGCCTCAGCTCTCCACCCTGGGTAGGGCATCCCCTGCTGGAACCCAGCAATGTGGGCTGGGGAGGGCAGGGCAGGGCAGGGCAGCCCTGCTGTGGCACTGGGCCAAGCAGGGGCGGTGGGCTGGGCCCCTTGCCCACATGCCCTTAGGCTCTTTGAGCGCTGCTCAGGTGTTGGGGAGCAGGCTGTGGGGTGGGGAGACCCCCTGCTTCCTCCAGGACGCCCTCAGACAGGGGAGGGCATGGCCCTTAGGCAGCATTGTCCCCACTCCCAGGGGCCCTCAGAGTCTTTCAGAACAGAACGGCACCCTTCTTTCCAGGTGATCCCTCCATGAGGGTCCCAGCCCTGCCCACCGAGGGTATGAGCTCCTCCCTGGGACCCCTCAAGGCTGGAGGTGTCCCCTGAGGGTCGCGGTGGGAGGAGAGCCTGGTCAGGCAGTGGCTGCCTCACCAACCTGGACAAACAAACCACAGCGTGGCGGACAGGTCAAGACAGTGCTTTATTAAGCATTCTCCTTACATCAAACTGAGTGTCTAGTCATCAGCACAGGGACCAGTCTGGGTGCACAGTCTGACAGGCCGAGCAGGGCCCACTGCCACAGAACAAGAGCATCTGAAGCCACGCTTGAGCCCCGGAACGTGAGGCTCCTTCTGGAATCGGGCCTCCCTGCAGCACGCCAACCCACAGCCCCATTTGCCACCCGCTTTTGCTGCAAGGCCAGAAGCAGACACCAAGCCACACAGCTGTCACAGAGCAGACACGCAGACAACTGACATTTCCCACCTGGACTTCTGATGTTTCACATGGTTCAGAAATCTTACTTTGAGCTGTTACAGGAACATTAATTTGATATTTTAATAAAAACACTATTTCTAAAAAACGTGTTTACACATGGCCTGGGATGGAGGCTCTCAGGTAGAGCCAGGCGCAGGACCTCTGGACGCATGGAGACAGCCAGTGGCGGCACAGGGCCCTGGTGGTGCTGCCCTGCCAGCCCCAGGGCCCCACTGTGAGAACCACCGCCTGGAGGCTAACCCTCAAAAATTACAAGGTGCCCTTCATTTTTAAAAACTCTGGATTTTGACATTCCAAAATGACTCTGGAAGCCACGTGCCAGTTTCCTGAATCCTTGCCAAAAACATGGGTGTTTAGGTGGAGTGAGGGAGGAAACACGTGCTAAGAATCCCGTTTCACTGTGAAGCAGGCGTATACATCACAGGCTCCTGGAAACACAGGAGCGTCCCCGAGAATGCATGGGGAGGGAGGCCCTTACACAGCAGAGCCGCGTCTTAAAAACCTCATCACACAAAACTCTTGTATATCTAGACCCACCGTTTGTTACACCCGCACCTGGACCCTAATTTCAGCAGCAATAAATAAAGTCCAGGATAGTAAAAACAAACACAAAATGAACAGGAAAGCCTGTAGCAGACCATCACCCACATTACACAAACTGAAGAAGGTTCCCACTAGCACCTCATGCCCTCGTGTGACAAGTCGGGAGGGCAGGACCAGAGCAGGGGGGACAGTGGGAGTGCCTGCCGGCGGCAGCCGCTGCTCTGCAGTGACAGCAGCAGTGGGGACACCCAGAGCGCCCAGCAAAGGCAGCGAGGGTGAGAGCAGGAGCCAGGCACAGCTGCCTGGGCCCCGAAGTCCGACTCACAAGAAAGAAGACGGCCACCTGCGGGGCACACTAGCAGCCACAAAGCTCACAAGCAAGCATGCTTTCCCAGCCAAACCAGGCCGCTAACGCAAGTGTGAGACAATTCATAAATATTAATTAAGCATCTAGAACATATTTCTCAAATAACTGAAATAAGAAACTTTTAGAACCCAACTGTTACTTTACAAAGGTTTACATTTCAGAATATATAATCTTATTCCTATTTTGTCAAGTGTCTTTAACAGCTGAGTAAAGGGTTTCAAGTAATTTAGAAGCTAGTGCTTCTGAGTCCCGCCCCGCCCCTGCTCCTGGCTAACCTGGCCACTCTATCCCTGTCTCCCAAATCCTACGTCTGGATTCCCTGAAAGAACCTTCCTGCCAGCAACCAGACCCAGGCTTCGAAGGGTGGGTCAGACAGGGCTGAGGACACCCCCCAGGGAGTGCCGCCCTACCTGAGCTGCCAGGCATTGACAGCCAGATGCCAGGGCTGGACACCGAGCCCACGGAGGCACCCCGCTCCACCCAGAGGTGCGCTAGGCAAGCCCTATACTTCCAACCCAGCCTGTGTGCTGCGCAGGCCACTCCAGGTGTTGCCTTTCTGAAAGCCCCTCAGGATGCCTCATCGCAGGACCAGGAGCTTGGCCACCAGCCTGCTTGTTCCAAAAGAGCCAGGGGCCGAGGGAATCGGCGTCATGAGCACGAGGAGGCCCTGATGCTGCAGAGCCATGACAGGGGCATGCACACTCAGAGCACCCTGAGCCCACCAGGCTGCCCTGGGGCCGGGCCCGGGCCCAACACTGGATGCAGTGAAATCCATCCCAATCACCCAAAGGGCAACGAGTGCTAACAACCCAAATTAGGAAACGTTCTAAAAGCCACAAGAGCACGTTACATTACTCAAACATGAAATGCTTAACTTTCAAGGGCTTCATTAGTCTCTCTCACAGCATAACTTACATTAGCTACTACTCGTGAGTTAGGCAGACTGTCGTGTGTGAAAATTCTCTACGAGTTAATTGGTTAAAGGGCTAGGAGAAAATCAAAGGTAAATCAAGAAAGAGCTCTGAGATACACACAAAAGGAAACTCGCATGAGACACTCCCGTCAGAGAACTGCGATTTTCCAGAGGCCACGGAGAGATGGACACGTGTTCTCAACCACAACAGAGATGACTGGAGATGTGCATGAATCAGTCCTATTTACACTGACATTCAGGAATCCAAGTCCACAGACTAATGCAAGTGTCTTCTCCAGAGCTGAAGAGGGCTGTGTTGGTTTTTATCTAATTCCCATCTGCAGGCCTCGGGCTCCACAGCTGTGGGAAGTCCACATGGCTGGTCCTCTCCCAGGACAGATAGCAACAGGGCGCAGGCACACGCAGGGAGGCACCTTCCTGCCCCAGTGTGGCCAAAGCCCACCTCTGCAGCCAGGGACCTTGTGCGCGGCCATGACCCCTGGGCTGTCAGCAGGCTGCCCGCTTGGCCACCATAGCTGGGGCCACGGCAGCAGGTGCCACTGTGTGAGTCCAGACACGATTCCCTGTGGGGACTCAGGGATTCCAGACGAACTGAATCTTCACGGAATGATGCAAATTAAAAATTACTTGATTATGGAAGTTTCGATTTATTCCAGACAAAATATTAGATTTGTCACTAAGAATCACCTCAAAGCAATCACTCTCATGGAAGGACTGTGGCGGCCAGGGAAGTGGGATGGAGGTGGACACACGAAGGTCCACCAAGGTGCCGGAGAGCAGGGCCGGCCCTAATTCTTCCCCTCCGCAGCCTCCCTCTCGGCCTCCTTCTCAGCCTTCTTCTCAGCCTTCTCCTTGGCCTTCACCTTTTCCTCCACCTTCTCCTCCTTCTCTAGCATCGCCACAATCTCAGCCACCTGGCTGGTGGAGATGTGAATGTCTTCTTTGTCCACCAGCTCGATCACCTATGCACACAGGAAAGGGACAAGGGACTCAGGGGAGACAGGACACGGCTCCTCCTCTGAGCCATCTGCTCAGCCGCTGGGATGGTCATTGGGGTCCTCCAGCTGCTCTGTTCTCAGGGTTCCAGATCCCCACCCAGAAGGCCAACAAGCTCCACGGCCCCAAGCCAGGTTATAAGCCACCGGAGAGAGGGGCTTGGAGAGTAGGAGGCGTGTGGTCAGCCAAACCTGGGCGAGGATACAAGGTGTGCTTCCCACGGGGCCCAGGGCTAGAGGAGGAGTACAAAGGAGGTGGGCCAGGTCCTTGCTCAGGGCCGGGGGACCTGCCCTGGACAAAGGCTCCCCCAGGGCAGCGTGCAGGGGCATGTGGGGCACAAACATCCGAGCTGCCATCCACACCAATAAGGGTCCCCAGGGAAGGGGCAGGTGAGGTGGGCATGGCCCTCCCAGCCTGTGCTGCTGCCAAGGTGACAATGCTCAGCATGTGTGTATGGTAATACCCTGCTTTTCAACCAAACTAAAATAAGGTAGCCGATATTCTTGGTAAATGTGTGAAAAATCACCAACTGGCTGGATATACAGTGAGCCATTAGAACCACCTGTGAAGGCACGCTTTGCTCAGAAACGCCCAAGTTCACAGACTTTCTCATGAAGGTGGAATCCTGCTCCAAGTCTCCTGGGCTGCCTAAGCTCTTGGCACCAGGGCCCCAAGTGGCGCCTTGGGGTCACCTCTCAGGCTTCAGGGGACCCCATGCTCAACAGCTTGCCACCAGGGGTCACAAAGCCTGGCTCAAAGGATTGTCCTGCACACCTCCTCCCCTAGGGGTCTCTGCACCCCAGCTGCCCTGCTACCACCATGCTTCCCAGACCCACCAGGGCCCCACTCGAGCCCAGGAGAGGCCAAGTGTCCAGTCAGAAAGCAGGCGGCCTCCTCCACCGAGACGCCTTTACTGCACTTTTTTTAACTTTGTGTGAAAAATGAGCCAAGTGTTTAGAGTAAGGGCCAAGACCAGGCCATAGGGGGCCTCAAGGGTGGAGGCACATGTGGAAAATGCTTTGGGTGAGGGGCTGGCCCCGTGGTGTAGCGGTTAAGCACGTGCACTCCACTGCTGGCGGTCCGGGTTTGGATCCCGGGTGCGCACCGACGCACCGCTTGTCAGGCCATGCTGTGGTGGCGTCCCATATAATGTGGAGGAAGATGCCCACAGACGTTAGCTCAGAGCCGGTCTTCCTCAGCAAAAAGAGGAGGACTAGCATGGATGTTAGCTCAGGGCTGATCCCCCTCACAAAAAAAAAAAAAGAAAATGCTTTGGGTGAGATCCCCACCAACCCCGGAGCAAGAAGGCAGCGGGCCAGGTAGCCCTGACTCAGCCCTGACCCACCTTGACGAGGTCGTCGATGTCAACCTTGCCGTCCTTATTTTCATCCAAGGCTGAGGCCAAGCTGACGAGCTTGTTTTCTGGAATGTGCTTGATCTGCTTCATGGCACTGATGAGTTCAGTGACGCTGATGACAGTCTCCCTGGGGGGAGGCGGGGGCACAGACTGCATGTGGCACAGCACGCAGCCGCAGCCTCACTGGGGCTCCCACAGTCAGCCCTGACCCAGGGAGACCCCTCCCTCTGAGCTCCCTTGCCCCTTCCCTTGGGAATGCCCAGCCAACTCAAACACAAAGACAGGAGGACCACATGGCCGGCCCAGGGTCTCCTGTGTGTGCAGTCCCCCATGAGCCCTGCCTCTCCAATGGCACCCCATGAGCCCTGCCTCTCCAATGGCAATCAGGACAGAAAGCCCCACGGTTACTGGGCGGTGGTTCCTCAGGCCTGTATGTGCTATGGTCAGGGCAGGGAGGCCGAGTCTGGCTGTGCTGCCTTCTGACCAGTGGGGGCAGGTGGGCCAGCACAGCAGGTCAACCCAGGAGGGAACACTGACCTCATGGCAGGGTGAAGTGGCTCTGCAGCCAGTCTGCCTGCCCCCTGGAGATGTGGGCACTTGGAGCGTAGTGCCTGGCCCACTGGAGCACGGAGTGTCAACTACAACGGCATGGTGGGGTTGTTTCATTTGCCTGACAGCTACGCACGCAATACTCAGGCATCTGGGACGCACTGGTGCAGAGGCAGCCTCCGGCCCCCGAATGGGGGTCATTACTGAATGCCTGTGTGTAGGGGGGTTCAATAGAAGGGAGGAGGCAGGAGAGAGCTTGACGATTTGAGGAAACAAGAGCCAAGCGTGGCTGAGGCCACAGGGAGGGGAGAGTGTTGTGGGAAGAGGGGCAGGGAGAGGCCATGTGTTCACAGGGGAGCCATGATCCTACATCTATTCTGGAAGGACCAGCTTGATAACAGCCTGGAGAGGTGTGGGCCAGGGTGGACATGCAGAGGCCAGCCAAGCCACAACTGTGGTCTTCCAGATGAGAGCTGATAGCAGCTGAAGTGTGTATGAGCGTGTACGAGTGCATGCACATATGTGTGAGTGTGTACATGTGTGCAGGGAAGAGAAGACCCTGAAAGCTACTTTAGTAAAACCATCACTGAGAAGTGGAGACCAATAAGGTGTGGCTGAGTTTCTAGCTAGAACTGTTGGGTCAAATGTGAGGGGCAGTTGGGGACCAAGGCTGAGAACTGTGCTTTGGAGTCAGAAAGGCCCTGAGTGTCGCCGTCCTGCACTCACCCCGCAGGCGAGCCCTCGGCAGCCGGCCCCAGCGTGCCGGGCTTCTGACCCGTCTCCAGCTGCGAGAGCAGGCTGTCGATCTGCCCAATCATCTGCTGCACTCGCTTCGTCAGCCTTTTGCTGGCTTTAGATTCTTCCACATATATTTCTTCTCCAGTCTTTGAAAGTTCCTTCTTGATCTCTTGCAAATCCTAATGAAATTATTTAGTTGTAAAAAGATTGTCTTAAAAAGGAACCTTATAATTAAGTCTACCTCGCACAGGTAATTAAATTAACCCAAACTAGCATCACGAAGGTGAGGAGATCCAGGTTGTGCACTAGGCTGAAACGCACTGATTCCAATCAGACTTGCAAAGTCTTATTTCTATCTATTAGACAGATTTGTTCTCATTTTTGCAAACTCAAACACTGTTTTTGTAGCCAAGGAAATGGAATCTATTCTGAACATCAACTTTCTTCATATTTGTTAAAAGAATAAACAAAATGATGACAGAATCAGGAATGGTAGGTGCCTTCTTCAGTTCCAAGTCAGTTTCTCCCCATGAGCAAACATGGGAAGCATGAGAGGTGGGGTGGGGAGGAGGACAAAGGCTGAGGGTTTCTGATAAATACTTGATTTCTAACAGAGGATCCAGCAGCAACAGGGCGGCCATGAGAAAGTTCAGAAAATGGCAAATTATTTTTACCAATCTCAAAATTAGTCATCTTTTCCTAATAGAGCTGTGAAAACATATTTGTTTTGAATCACATTAGGAAGTAATATTTATAAATTGAAGAGACATGTTTTCCTTAAAAAAAAAAAAAAAAAGGACTACTGTGTAAGAAGAAGTCTCACAGAGATCATGAATGGAAACAAGATTTCATTATCAAGCAACCAGACTATTCATCTGATGCCTTCATGTGCTCAGAAATGAAAACAGATGTATGCTTGTCATCTGCAAGGGCGAATGGCCAGCATTCCAGGAGAAAAGTGACCCAGCTGGAATGGCTGCGGAAAAGTTGTTGAATAAAATTTACTTAGAATCCAGTTTTCCCTCCAAATACCCTTTGGCCTGCTTATCAAATATTTGATGGAGCTATTATTGAATACTTTTGGGGCCCAGGGCTAGTTTTACTCTTTTTCAGTCCTAGTCTTAGGAGCAAACCCCACAACCATGGTCGCCTGAGCGCAGCTGAGACAAGCATCAGCGGCACCCGCCCCTCACGCCCGCACCTGGCTGTAGTCCTGGACGTCCTCCTTCAGCAGCTCCAGTTCCTCCTTCTCCTTCGTCAGGGACTTCTTCTGCTCCTTCAGTTTCGAACAGGCGCCGCTGAGTATGTCAATTTCCTCTTTAGTTATTTCTTCCTCCTGGAAAGACAACAAGCAAACTCGAAAAATCCCGAGATGAAGGGAATCACTGGCTTTTTTCTCCAATAGTTTACCACTTTTCTGTTCCTGTCGTACATTCACATTGTACTTGGTGGAGTCTCGGGCTCCGTGCGAGGCCGAGAGAGCCCGTGCACAGTCACTCGTCACTCTTCACTCTCCATGGTGCCCTCTACACCAGCGTGCACTGTGTCGTGTGTGTATCTGACATACGTGGACACCCAGGAAACCATCATCACCTGAGAAACAGCGGTCACCCCAAACATCTCCTGGTGCCCTGTGGCCCCCCCCCCATCTCCGGCCCCAGGCACCCACTGCCCCGCCTTCCGTCAGACAGCCTAGGCTGCTCTGCTAGAATCTTACACAAGCGCTGTCACATAGCAGGAGCTCTTTCGTGTCCGACTCCTCGCGCTTCCCTCTTCTGAGAGTCAACCATGTGGTAGTGTGCTCCTTTTAACTGCTGAGTAGCATTCCATCGTGTGGCTATACCAAACTCACTCACCCATCGTCTTGGCTATTCTAGGTCCTTTGAATTTCCAAATAAATTTTAGAATAAGTTTGTCAATTTCAACAAAAAAGCTTGCTGGGATTTTGACAGTCTTGAATCTATAGATCAGTTGGAGAGAATGAACATCTTACCAACACTGACTCCTCACATCCATGAGAGCAGTAAATCTCCCCATTTATTAGTTCTTTAATTCACCTCAGCACCATTTTATACCATTCAGGGTACAGGTCTCGTATATCTATTTCCAGATTTATCCTTAAGTAGTTCATTTTTTGGATGCTATTGTAATGATACACTTTTTTAAACGTGCATTTCTGATTGTTCGTTACTAGTATAGAGAAGTACAACTGATTCTTAGATGCTCACATCATTTGTGAACAAAGACAGCTTCACTTCTTTTCCGATCGATATGGTTTTATTTTTTTCTTATCTAATTGTTCTGGCCAGAACCTCAGTACAAGCTGGACAGCAGTGCTGAGAGCAGACACCCCTGCTGGTGTTTCTCCCCCAGGGATGACGCCAGCTGCGGGGGTTTCTGTAGATGCTTTTTATCGGGTTGAGAATGGTCCCCTCTACTGGTGTGCTGGGATTTTTTTTTTTTATCAGGAACAGAAGCTGGATTCTATCAAGTGCTTTTTCTGCAACTATTGAGATGCTCATACATGGTTTTCTCTCGAGTCTGTTAATACAGTCATTACACTGACTGATTTTTTGTATTCCCTAGACAAATCTCATAAGGCCTTTTCATAGAATAGCTGCAACTGATTTGCTAAAACTTCAAGAATTTTTACGTCTGTGTTCATGAAAGATGCTGGTGTACAGTTTTCTCATATCTATCAGGTAATGCTCATCTCAGAATGAGCTGGGAAATGTTCACTCCTCTTCAACTTTCTTCTGCAAGTTTGTGCAGCACTGGAAGGATTTCTTCCTGACTTGTTTGGACTCACCACTAACTTGGCGTGAAGCTATGTGGGCCTGGGGCTTTCTCTGTGGAAAGGTTTTTAGCTGCAAACTCAATTTCCTTACGAGAGGTAGAGCTGTTCAGGTCTCCATCCTCCCATGCAGGTGGCCAGCACTGATAAAACCCAGCTCTGCACCGCAAACAGGGACAAGGGCACTTGTTTTTCCCAATCTTTATGGCATCTTTTCAATGAAACTAAGTTCTTCACCCAAATCCCTGGCAATCCTTTGTTCGTAAGTTCTCCTAAGAGTTCTAAATGTCCTTTCACATCTAAGCCTTTAATCCATCAGAAATTGAATGCATCTGTTTCCATGACGACAGCCAACCATCCCAGCCCTATTTACTGACAGGTGCTCCCTTCTTCCAGAACTGTGCTCCATGGACCCGGCCGAGCTCTGCCTCTGCTCAGCTGTCCCTGCCCCAGCCCTGCACTGCCTTAAAAATGACCCTGGTCATTTGGTCCCTTGGTCCATTTGGACCTTGGTCCCTCACCCTTCCCTGGGTCACCGTGCGAGCCCAGCTCAGCTAGGTTCTCAGGACTCTTTTCCTCCCAGTCTCGGCGCACCAGCAACAGCACATTGTTTCCATCTGTCTCCTGCGCCATGTCTCAGGATGGCCTTGGCCTCCCTACAGGCCTCAGAACCGTCAGCGGGGTGAAGCAGAGGCCCACCGGGATTATCCCAAGCCATGCCCGTCTCCAAAAGGAGCCCCACAAGGCTCGGACAGCCCCTGGCCCACCCACTGCCCCAGCTTTGATGCTTTATCTCTTCTCTTCTTGCACGAACAGCCTGGATCTTCCCTGAGACCTGGCTCTCTCTGCTGTCCTCTCTAGTGGGGCCCTCCCTTCTCCACAGGCCTGGAGGAGGCTACCGTCCCCCTGGCTCCTCCCCGAACCCCTGCAGTGGGGCTTTTCCTTCTGCCTTGTTCTATAACCGCTCCTGCCAAGTCCACCAATGGATCCCATGCTGCCCAACAGGGTCAAACCTCACGCCTCATCCACCTGGCTCTAAGTACACCTCATGAAACCCACCCTCCTCCAGATGCACCCCTGTCTGCTTAGGCGTTGACATGCTCGACCTCACAGAGGGGCCTTGTCTCCCCTCTGACCTCTGAATGCAGAGGCTGCCCTCTTTCAGACCCTCTGCGACCTTGCTCAGAATCCTTAGATATAAATCAGCTCCCTTGGTCCTTCTTCTACTCCAGCTGCCAAATCGACATCCCCATCTGTCAGGAGATTCTTCCTCCACCCAACATGCCCTCAAAAGCTGCTCTACTACAGTGCTCTCTGTACCAGGGCCCACCCGGGAGTCCAAGACAGAGAGAGTCTCATGCAGGGAGCAGGCTACAACCAGGACAGCAAGACCACCCAGAGATGAGCACCCCAAGATGCACAGCACATCAGGCTGGGGATGCTAAGGGCGCCCATGCCCAGGGCACCAAGGAAGGTGGCAGCCAGGTGGGCCTCTGTGGGGAAGCACACCGGCTTCCCCTCCCTCCTGGCTGACAAGGAGCCTGGAGAGCCACCTTTGGGTATGGGTGCCCTGCCACTGGGAGCACTCGCAGGGCCCAGAGGAGCCAAGGAATGGCTGCCTCACCTTCCAGGCGGTCAGGCCCAAAGCTCGGAGCCATGCCTGGCTTGCTCTTCTCACACCACAGGGCCTCCCGGGAACGCCGCCTCCCTGCAGCGTCACCATCCTTGCCCCACAATTGTCCAGTCACCTAAGCCAGGCCGTGGCCTCCTTGGCCCCATTTCTTCAGGAGTCCCCAGCCTACAAGCTGGCCCCTCCCCAGCTTCCTGCTCAGCTCGGACTCTGCTTCCCTCCAGGGCACGCACACGCGGCCGCGGTTACCTTCAAGCCTTCCAGGACGGGGGCGGTGTCCTTCAGGGCCTCCGATGGCAGGATCACATCAGGCACTTCCGGCTGTAGCTTGGCGGCTGGCCTCCCAGGGGCAGCTTCTGCCACTACTTCTGGCTCCACTTCCTTCTGAAATGCAAAGCCACTGCCTGCTCAGCATCACCTGTCACGACAGCAGCCTTCCTGGGGCGTCGACACTGGCACAGACATGCCACAGGCCAGAGGGCACACTTTGAACAGGCCTGCTATGTGCTGGCTGAGATGTGCCAACACCCATTGACCAGCAGCGGGTGCCCTGCCTTCCGTAAGGTTGCCCTGCAGGACTCTCCACGTGGGTGTACTTAGTGTGACCAGGTGCACTGACACGACTCAGGCAGCGGAGCCTCTACAAAGGCCCCTCTATCGAGTGGTCACGGCATCTAATTTCATCTCAGTCCTTTCCTGATGACTCCACCAAGCTGCCCCGAGACTTGCAGAGTAAAAACCTTGTGGGCATGCGCGCCCAGGGAGCTGGAGCACACTCACAGCCTGGGCCGAGGGAAGGCCTGAGGAGAACACAGCGCTGCAGTGACACTCTCCCTGTGGGCTTCACTGACTGGCGCCTGGACCAAGGGAGAGCCAGCCAACTCATTTCCCTGGGGGCCCCTCTGGCAGACCCCCACTTCAGAGCTCCAGCCCCCACTCCGAGCAGTCCTGCCTCCACTTCCATGAGGCGGTTTCTAGAGAAGCTGGAGTGGGACGACCTCTGCTCTGTCCCAACTCTCCCCATGGTGCCTGCTCCCACAAAGCAGGTCCAGGGCCCCCCTGGCCACTTACCGCCACCTCAGAGAGCCTCTGCAGCTCCTTCTCCTGGTGCTCCTGACGGATGGCCGCCTCCTCTTGCAGCGTGGCCTCCAGCTTTGCCTTGTTGTCCACCTGCTCGCCCTCAACCTCAGCCACTTTCACCTGGGCTTCCTTCGCCTTCAGAGAGGGGACACCTGTGAGTGAGCCCGGGGAAGGGGGATGCCCCAGTGCGTGTGGAAGCACAGCAGGCACAGCTACCACCAGAGAGGCCCACACAGTGCCCTGCACCCTGTCCATCTCTCTGAGTGTTGTCACCATCTGGGCTTCCAAAGGGAATAGAATGCCCTGCTGGCACCCCCAACTGCTGGGAAACACTGCAAGGCACCCGAGGGTCACCTTGCACACGTCACAGGAGTTCTTGATATTCAGAGAAAGGAGTGACAAGACAGAAGTGGAGGGTGAGTGAGCAGATCTGAGAGCTCCCTTGACCAAGGAGGTGGGTGTTTCCATGGCCCCTCCCCCCAGAAGCGAACGGGCCCCTTACAGAGTGAGCTACAGAAGGGCAACACGCACCACAATCTCTGGGAGGGTCTGCAATGTGGACTTGAGCTGGTCGGCGGGCGAGAGGGTGTCTGGAAGGTACATGGCCCGGGACAGGATGAGCAGCGATGTGGGGATCTCCTGATGCAGGTGCAGCTCCAGCCACTGGAATTGGGAGTTCAAGACCAGACTCGTGGGCCAGCCTGAACCCGCCCACATCTCCTGTGACCTGGCTGAGGGCTTCTGGCCCTGGAACTTTCCTCTCTGTTCTGGTTTGGTTGGACGGGGGAGGAGGAGGAGACTGGAGGCAACAACCACAACAGGACTTGAGTAGATGGAGCCACTAAGTCACTGGAACAGGTTCTCCCAAGAAAAAGACATCTCCAGTTCTAAAGGTCTATTATTGCTGCATTTTATGCCTTGATGCCCACCTTAGTCAGCTGAGCTGCCCAAAGGATCACTAATTAGCACCCTGGCAGCAAGGCTGCTGGAGCTCAGAAAACACTGAGTGAGATGACGAGATTCTGTTACCAGGGCTCTTCACTTGAAAATGGCACAAAAACTCCAAAGGTGGCTTTTGTGAGTTCACTCAACATTCAAGGTCTTGATGTCTACTGTGGGCAAGTCACTGTTGTAGGCTATTTTAGTGACACAGAGACAATGTTCAAACTGACAAAAGACCATGACAATGTTTGGACACAAACTGGACGCAGGACAAAAGATGAGACGAGAAGGAATTCTACGAATAGGGAGCAGAGGCTGAGCGAAGCTTAGACAACAAGAGAAGGAAGACACGTGAGCACTTGCACCAGAACCCCCGAGTCCCACAGTGTTGGCTGCAACAGCCCACTCACACCCTGCACGTGCCGGAAGAAGGCTAGAAACAGCCCAGGCACGCCCAGCATGCTGGGCAGACACAGGGCCGATTCACACTACAGAGAAGGATCTCCTAGGGACCATGTGGAGACACAGTCAGAGAAAAGAAGAGGGCAAGAACAGACTGCGTAATAAACACTGTTCGTGTCAAAAGAGGGGAAGTGGGTGCTGATACATCGTTGTCTACACTTGGAGAGCGCCAGCAGCACAGGCAGAGTGGGGAGGGGGACCAGTTGGCATCTGCACACTTCACACCTTCTGATGTGAAAGCTGAATCGCTGTGAATGTTGCCTATGCAACGTCTAATCTACTCAAACTGATGCTGTCAGGGCCAGCCTGTGGTGTTGCAGAGCTGGCCGCTGGATTCTGCCGAGTCCCCTCTGAGCTGCTGGAGAAGGGAGCGTGGGCTAAAACCCAAGAGGCTGATAGCAGGGGCTCTGGAGGTCGGGTTGGCCTGGATACTATTTACCCAAACATCCCTGGCCTCCAGGCAAAGAGACATACTGAAATTTCAAGGAAGTTAACGTAGTGCTCATGTGTCCACAGATGACCCGGAGAAGGGAACAGTAAAGACATTAAGATCAACCAAGAGCAGGTGAGAAAAATCAGAGCAATACCCAGAAGTCACAAACATTGGGTGCACAAGCATGCGACAGAACCAGGTCATCACACCCCGATGTCCAGGCCCCCCGGCCAGGGGGGAGCTGAAGGCCACAGTGGCGCCTCACGAGGCCTGGCTGCCGCCCGGAGTCTGGGGACAGCCTCCCGTGACTCACAAAGAGCCTATGCTGGTCTGATGGAAGGGGAAAGCCCTCAGACCACGCACCTGCTTCAGCTGGTCCCTCAGACGGTCTTCCGTGACACCGAGGGCCCGCATGCCTCGTGCTCGACACGCTGACTGCAATTCCTTGACGTTCAGGCTGTCTACCCCTTCCTCAGCGATCAGCTGTAAAAGCAAGTCAACTAATTAATTAACATTTGGAAAGATCAGATGACGCTCTCTGTACTCGAAGCTCCCCCTCCCCCCTCCTCCCTCTTTCTCCTCCCCCTCCCCCTCCACCCGAGGTCACAGTGACCAAAGGGAAGGGGCTCAGGGTGCAGACCCTGGCTGCCTGTGTCCCTGCACTTCTCCCCATCCCCTCGGCCTGCCACTGACCCAAGCATTCTCGATGCTCAGAGGATGGAAGAGGAAGGATGGAGCACAGGGGGCAATGCTAATGCTCTAAGGATGTCTCTTGGCCTCAGCCAAGGGCCCCCTACCCTCCCCTCCTCCTCCGCCTGAGGTCACAGTGACCAAAGTGGGAAAAGCAAACAGGGATCCCACAGACAGAGGCCACGGAGCACACTGAGGAGACCCTACAAGGGCCGAGGGGTGTGGAGAAGAAACAAGTACCACAGTGGCACCTTGCCCGTGCTGGGCGGGGTCCTCACCTGCCACCTCATCTGACCCCATGTAACGTCATGATGGCCCAAGAGGTAGACAGTACTGTTATCCCATGTCCTAATTAAGCTTTTTATCATGACATCATTGTAGATCGACAGGCAGCTGTAACCAAGACAGAGTTCCTGGGTTTCTCCCAATGGTAACATTTTCCAAACTATAGGGCAAAATCCCGACCAGGATGCCGACACTGAGCCAGTCAAGGTGGAAGACGTCTCCATCCCCACAAAGACCTCATGTTGCCCTTCTACAGACACACCCACCACCTCCCGAACCCCTGGCAACCACAACTCGTTTTTTGTTTCTATAATTTTGTCATTAGAAGCATGTTATATGAATGGGATCATACAGTATATACGTATGGGATTCCTTTTACTTTTATCTCTTTACTTTTTGGGGTTCCATGCAGGTTGTTGTGTGTATTAATAATTCATTCCTTTTTATTACTAAGTAGCACCGCAGGGTATGAAGGTCTTGATTTAATCATTCGCCCACTAAAGGACATCTGTGTTGTTTCCAGTTTTTGGTTATTATGAAAAAACTGTGCATAATAACTCAACACAGCCCACATGTCGTCACTGTCCCCGTCCAGGTGAACTGTGGGAACCTCACCACTACATGTCCCTTTATCCTCTCCCTCCTGTAGTGTGCTCATCTGAACGACTCCTGCTTACACGGAGAGCCACACCATACAGCGCCCCCATTTCTGTTTCAACTGTCAAAATGTCAGTTTAGAAGACATACGAGGAGAAAGAAAGTCTACTGGATTTTCCTGTTTTTTTGCCATCTTCTTTCTTCCTGATGTTCCAAAGTTCCTTCTCTTATTTCCTTTCTGTTTAGAGAACCTCCTTTCAGTTCTTTTAGGACAGGTCTGCTGGTGACAAATTCTCCCAGTTTTCCTTCATCTGAGAATGTCTAGGGCCGGCCCCGTGGCTTAGCGGTTAAGTGCGTGC